TTCTTTTGCATGATGGGAAGAGAAATCCAAATAACGGTCAGTATGGGTTGGCTTCCGAAATATATCAATAAAGGCAACTCCATTTCTTCTGGAAACCAACCAGAGAACGTTTTTATTCCAATATGTCTTATCCTGGTTACAGTTCTATTTTTACTTTTATCGTTTTCGATTATTTTTAGATGCGGACCGCATTCAGACTTCTATGGACAAACATCTTCTATCCATGACTGACAACTGAGAGGCAATGGTAACCAGGCCCCGGTCACACTGACGTGCCAGTGGAAGTACAGTAAGGGAGGTTAGGCCTGTTTATACGTCGCACAATCGTCGAATTTAATTCGGACGAATTTAATTCAAGGACCTGCTAGTAACTAAATTCGAGGACAAAACACCACTATTTGTAGCTGTCAAAGTATCTTGTAGAAACGATCTCGAAGAAATAATAAAACACAAGGCTGTCTGCTGCGCTGTCAAATGGTATCTTTAAGGGGTCAAACAGAGCTCGAGACCCGCCTGGGTGGGTCTTTTTTAGGGATTTGTTTCAAATTTTCCGACGAGCACGATCGACCATTTCACATAGGAGTACCCCCACCCGGGCTCAATTTGGACCAAAGTATTTATTTTACAGCTTCAAGTATTGACATCGTCGAACGCATCAGTTATTACTAAGATCTTTAACTTAAATATACTCTCGCACATTTAAAGTATAAATAGCACCATCTAACCATTAGTTTTTCAGACTTGAAAATAAAGTACGCCTGACTTTGAAATGTCGTTTACCTGCCCTCATTCGTTCATTAAAATAGTGGGGAAAAAATCGACGAAGAAATTAAATGCAAGACGGCCACTCTATTATTATTTAATTTTCCTTCAGTTATTTTTCTTGGACTTTCTTTTTATTTCATTTTTTGACTTTTATTTCTTGTCTGCCTCGAGGATGATCAATAGACCTTTCAATTTTTATTACTCCTGATATGATGTATAAGAAATTTCTAGTATGAAGAAAAATCTAAAAACGTTATTCAGAGAACAGTACAGTTATATGTATCACAAAAACTACATCATATTTGGTTTTCTGTCTCTTTTACTAACCTGGTTTGACATCTTCCATTCTCTCACTCTTAATTTCATGCGCCAGCTGCTCTACTTTGTCATCTGTTTTGGTGAGACTATCCTGCAGTTGTGCCATATCTTGCCCCAGTTCTTCTACTTTGACGTTTGCTGCAGCAAGACCTTGTTCTGCTCCCTCGACTCTTTTTCCTTGTACTTTGACTTCGATATTTGTTTCAGCAAGACCTTGTTCCGCTCCCTCAACTCTTTTTCCTTGAAGTTCGACTTTGATATTTGTTTCAACAAGACCTTGTTCTGCTCCCTCGACTCTTTGCTCCACTCCCTCAACTCGTTGTTCCACTCCTTCAACTCTTCTCAATAATTCTTCACTCAGCATTTTCTTCATGGACACTAGCCTCTCCAAGATTTTGTCAATCTCTTCTCTTCTAGTCTCCTCTTCCTTTTCAAGCTTCGTTTCCACT